GTACCTTGACGTTTTAGAAAATTATTTTTTAGTACCCTAAAGTCATTTTTTAGGATGTAAAATGTTAAATTTACCATTCTCATTATTTTACCAAAAACTAATAAATTTAAAAAAAATTCAAAAAATTATTTTTAATTTAAAGCATTATTTTTAATTTTAATTTTTAAATATTTAAAAAAATTTGAGAATTTTTCTAAATTTATTATTAGTTTTTTTGTTAATTAATTAGAAGGGTAATTTTGACATTTTACATTCCAAAAAATGACCTTAAAGTACTAAAAAATGATTTTCTAAAATTTTTAGATACCAATTTAAAATTACTAAAAATACATGGTATTAAAAGACAATTATGTTAAAACATAGGGTACCAATATGAAATTTTTCCTAGAAATTTTAGGCCTTTTTATGTTTGAGTTTTTTGTTTTCTAATTTTATATGTTTTCTTTTCATTTTTCTTTTTCTTTTTTCTCTTTTTCTCTAGATCTCATTTTCTCTCATCACTCTATCTGGCCGTTCATGGGTCTACACTTTTCTCTCTCATCGCCAGTCGTAAATATATGATTTGCAATGTAAATTTAGGATTTATTATTAGAACACAGATTGTGTTTCTAATCCTAAATTTATAGTGTAAATCTAAGATTTACCATCAAATATAATTTTTGTTCCTTCATAAATATTGAATTTACACATAAGTTCAAAACATTACTAATATAAGATAAATATTTTTTTAGTTTTGCTCGTAAATCAATAATTTACTGTATGGTAAATGCATGATAAACTATCATAATACAATTTTTGTTCCTTCATAAATTATTAGAATTTACCATCAAAACACATAATGTGTTTATTCAATCGCAAGGATTTACTGCTTCTAGATTATATTAACTTTACTGATATAAGATAAATACTTTTAAATTCTGCTTGTAATTTAAGATTTACAGTATGGTAAAATTCAGGATTTATCATCAAAAACATAGTTTATGTTATTCACATAGTGTAAATCTAGGATATATTATTAGAACGTAATTTTTGTTCAATCATAAATTCTGGATTTACATAGTAAATTTAGGATTTATCCAGGATTTATCATCAAAAACATAGTTTATGTTATTCACATAGTGTAAATCCAGGATATATTATTAGAACGTAATTTTTGTTCAATCATAAATTCTGGATTTACATAGTAAATTTAGGATTTATTATCAGAGCACATATTGTGTTTACTTAGGTTATTTGTAAATCGTGAATTTAGAGTATATATAGCGAGGAGATAGATTTAATGTTTATTGGTTTTCCTTTTTTAATTAGGGACATTTTTGAAATGTTAATTAAGTATAAATCATTGACAAAGCGAAAGCACAACGAGTGGGGGCTTAAATCCGGATTTACACATATTAAGCCTATTTACTAACTAATTATAAACCTTACCTTATTTATTTCAATTGCCTTTTTAGTCAGGCTTATTTATCTTAATCTCCCCTTTTTAAAACATACTACTAGATTTGGGTTCAGAAGGAACTATATACTATGGGCACTTTATAGGAACACCACAGGTTTTAAACTTGGATTGACATATGCCAGCAGATATAAACTGTTATAGAGAATACCACAGCCACATCATTACATATATTTGGAATACCAAATATACACTTAGGATACTAGTAGGTCTCCGACCATGATATTAATATCCGACCGAGATACCGATTAGTATCCAGCCATAATACCAGTATCTCACTGAGAAACCTATTGGTATCCGGCTAACAACCGTCAATATTGATAGAAATCTAGCTGTCATAGTCGTTGAAATACAAAAAAACAAACACAATCAGATCAAAAAAAGAGATCTCTTGTTGATCTCTGATGTCGGTAGTGTAGTGTTGCAGATTGACATGGCACAACGCAAATTGGTAGGCGACAGTGGCCAAAATTTTTCACGATGATGGCGCCACATCTGGTATTCGATAGATACCAGCTGGTATCTAACCACGATACCGGCATTCGACATCGATACCAATCGAAAACCACCAAAATTAGCAGCAACTTAGACACGTCCATCATTGAAATATTTAAAAATTGAGAAAAATTGCCAAAATCACAGATAACATAACACAAAAACTCACAAAATCAAAAAATCCATATAAAAAAATTTAAAAGAAAACGAAAAAAATTTTCAGTCGTGGATCTTCATTGGCGTCACTTGTGCGAGATCATATTTGGCATTATCGAAGCTTCGAAGGCAACAACGAGGAGGATGAAAGTCTTCATTGTACAGGCACTAGCATGAAGGTGTCATCTCCGGTCACCTTCGCAACTAAGTGGGTTATAGATCGGCAAAGCGAATGCACTGCAGGTTTGCCAAAGGTTGTAGATCAGAGATGCACGACGGCGCTGATCTACTCAACGGGCATTCACCAATGGTGTCGGCATAGCTAGGTTGGTTCATGTGAAGAGGAGAGATGGAAAAGGAAAGGAGAGAGGTGGCTACGAAGGTTAGCGTGAAAGAAAGATTAAAACTGACTAAGATAAGATAAACCTAAGGGTAAATGTGTTAGAAACTGATACAAAGAAAAACAATATAAAATATATATCAATTTTGTTGCAACGCGAATTCAACCTTCAACTGAACTAGGAAAATCGAATTAGGAAGAATGATATCGAGGCACATAAATCACGTTGTCTTTAAAACAGATTCGTCCTCTCCAGTGAGTGCTTGAGATTACGTATGACGTCCATCTTCCATGATACAACGACAACGACGGTAGCACGAAGCATTATCAGAACCGTCAGACGAACTAGAACTTGCACCTTCCCTCTATCACCAAAACACACTACAAGATTGCAAAGAAACTCAAGAAAATAAGAGAAGACTTGTGTGTTGTCTATACAAATGACTGAGAAAGGCCTCCTTATATAGGCTGTTGCAGGGGATGTTACAAAGTTGGAATAATGGAGAATAAATCTAAATTTATTCTCTGATTAATGGAAATTCAATTAAGAGGTTACAACCTCTGCAAATCCAGATGAACTTGCTCCAAAGTATGTCCAAATTCAGAGATTTCATGCTCATAAACGCATAATTAAACCAAACAATAATGGTGGTTAAGGCTGCAATTTTCTAAACCTTGCACTAATGCAGAGTCAAAACCTGCACTAATACAGTAGTTTCAGATTTAAGTTGGAAAAGGTAAAAAAAAAAAAAAATTACAAAACAAAGCCCGCATGGAGTGGGCCTATCGGTCCGGCATTTGTGTCCACAGATCGCGGAACCGTTTGATGAACTAGAACTTACACATTCCCTCTATCACCAAAACACACTACAAGATTGCAAAGAAACTCAAGAAAACAAGAGGAGACTCCTATGTTGTCTATACAAATGGTTGAGAAAGACCTCCTTATATAGGCTGCTGCAGGGGATGTTACAAAGCTGAAATAATGGAGAATAAATCTGAATTTATTCTCAGATTAATAGAAATTCAATTAAGAGCTTACAACCTCTGTAAATCCAGATGAACTTGCTCCAAAGTAAGTCTAAATTAAGAGGTTTCATGCTCATAAACGCAGAATTAAACCAAGCAATAATGGCGGTTAAGGCTGTAGTTTTACGAACCTTGCACTAATGCAAACTTAAAACCTGCACTAATGCAGTAATTTCATATTTACGTTAGAAAAGGCAAAAAAGGGGCAAAATAAAGCCTGCATAGAGTGGGACTTTCGGTTCGGCATTCGTGTTCGTAGGTCGCGGGTGCACACATTGGGCCCTTAACCCGTGGGATTTACACCCCCTGCGCGTGAGAGAGCTTCTCAAGTATACATGCTTACATAGGCTTCAAAATGCAATCCCTTATATACACCACAAGGCTTCATTCTTAGCCAATGTGGATTTTGCAATTTTCCAACCAATTTAACCATTCCAAGTGACATACTTAGAGCATTAATTTCTCATGCACCAAATATCCATTTTGAGTGTGTGAATATCCGATTTTGATCTCCTTGTGACAGAGAACGTAAATTAATCGAGACCCGTCCTAAAATTTAATTGGACCATATTCTAATATGGGCCTCAAAATGGGTCTTTAACATGACTTATTAAGCTATTTTCTAACAAAATGTCTCAATTAGTTTTTCTGACCATGGCATATTTTGCAAGAACATTCGATGGTGGACATTGTCGATCCCCACTCATTTTCCGTGGCATTCAACATAATTACTCATATACAATACTCTTCTTATTTTCTATATTCTTTTTAGTTTGTGTTTAGTTGGGGGAAGGAATTGAACGGAAATGAATGGAGCTTTATTATGATGTTTGGTTGACTTTTGGAAAATGAATAGTCATTTAAAATAGAATGACTTTTTTATGAAGTAAGTGAATCATCATTCATTCATCTCATAAGAGGAATATTCATTCCAAACTCTTTTACTTTTTTCTTTCATAATTACCCCTGAACATTATAAATGTTAATATTATAATTATATTAATAATTACAATATAATTAATATAATATAACATTATAACAAATTATATATTGACTAGTAATTAAATCTTATAATAAATAATATAATATTGTAACTCCTCAATCCTATATGGGGTCCACTTTGCAGAACTTCCGGTATAGTCAGATTTTATACTCGTTACTCACATGTACTGTCCCTTCAGAGCACCTAATGGCTAATGACCTTTAAAGATTTCTTTGCGTCTCCCAACACTTGAACTCAAGATCTCCCTCCTTATAAGATTCTTTTAAGTCTTGGTACCAACTAATCAAATATAATTATATAATATATAACAATATTATAAATTATAATATAATATATTATATATTTGTAGTTTTATTATATTATATTATATTTTATATATTATATTAATTATATTGGTATATAAAATATCAATTTTAGAAACAAAAAACGACGTGTCGTTCGTAGAGAAAGCTAATAAAAAAACTGACGGTCTACATTCGAATCCAGATTCCCTTTCAATCTCAAATTCCGTGATCCGTAACTCCTCAAATATATATCCCTTCCGTAAATCTTTACTCTCTCTCTTCCATATCTCTCCTCTCTCACCTCCAACCTCCAAATTTTCTCTCTCTACAATTCCATTTCCATTGAATCTCCTTCAAACACAGCTCTCTGTTTCTAAACCCTAACCCTAACCCTAATTCGGCCTTCACAAGCAAAGCAATTTCCATAGCCAACCGTCAGAACGACTCAATTTTCCTAGGGTTTCGCTCGCGTATGGCGCCTCCGGCGATGTCGAGCAAGCAGCAGGGCGGCGGGGACGACTCGGAGACGCCGTCGAACAATCTCTGGGTCGGAAACTTGGCCGTCGACATCACCGATTCCGACCTCATGGACCTGTTCGCCCAGTACGGCGCGCTCGACAGCGTCACCTCGTACTCGTCGCGGAGCTACGCGTTCGTCTTCTTCAAGCGCATGGAGGATGCCAAGGCCGCCAAGGACGCTCTCCAAGGGACGAATTTCCGTGGGAACCCGCTTAAGATTGAGTTTGCTCGACCGGTTCGTTCTGATCTCTGGGTTCCGTTAGGTTTATTTTGTTATTCGTCTTCTAATTGGTCTGAAATTGTGAGTAATGTGAATTTATTCAATTTGAATTTGAATTTTATTGATATTGGTTTGTCTCATTTATCTAACGACGTCGAATGTCGGTTCAATCTTCATATTCTGCGAATATCGGGTGCAAATTGAGATTTTCCACTCCGGTGAAAATTGAGTTTAGAGATTAATCTTTGGGACGCCAAATTTATCCGCTTAATTGGGGTAGTAATTTAGCAGACCTTCAAATATTTTGAATTTCCTGTTGAAAATAAAAACAAAGTCTTAATAAACTCGATAATTCATAATACGAGATTATGGGCAATCGATTATGAGCACTGTGGACCGTCTTCGGTTACATAAGGGATAAAGTAATGAAGAATCTGTTGAGACAAGCTATTTTGACTCGTTTGTTGAATGATATAGACACGCATAAACATTGTTTCTAGTCAACTTGTATTGATGGATATAATGGAAAAAGAGCACTTTTCGCGTCTGATCACTCTAATATGACACAATTCGTTATAGCAGTCAATAAATGAGATATTTCCGTTTAGTTCGCTGATTCGAGTTTTTAATTCGAGTTGAGATGTGATTTTATGTGAGAGCTTTTTACTGTAGCAAAAAAATTAGATGTGATTGTTTGTGAGAGCTTTTTACTGTAGCAAAACTCAAATTCTAAACTCGAATCAGCGAAATGAACAGGGCCTTAAGATCTCCAAATTCTAACAACGGGATAACCATTTCTTGCCAAACCCCAAACAATGAGAGCAACAAAACACACACGTCTTAGAATTAGTTGGCACTAAAGAAGAACTTGGTCACCTTTTTTTTAAAAAAAAATTTCATACATGAACAACAATAATCTTGTATAAGAATTTGAATTCTTCGTTAACTCTTCTTGGAACTGAAATTGAAGTTGCAATAGGAATAAGAAAGTTAACTTAAAGCTATCTTCTTTTAGGTCTGATGCTAGTATCAAATTGGTTGCTAGACATTATTTTCAAATAATGCGAGCCTGGAACTAATGAACATGATATTTTGTAATTTGATAAGGGATTAAGAGAATCATGGCGTGAAAGATATAACAGAGATTTCATTGAGAATATAACTCGTCTCTACTATCTGGCATTATGGATGAACAAGTGAACAAGAGTTAATACAATTTTTTGAACTGAATATGGTTTGCTTATGATTTACTGATTTTACCATTATAATTCCCTTCATATAATATAAACGTGTTTTTATTCATCATTTTTTTAAAATTTATAAATAAAAGTTTATTTTGTCCAATTGATGCACACTTTTTGCAAGGACATGCCAAGTTTTGTTAAAATTTCGTTGAGTTTGTTAATGTAGGGGTTTGGTTCACTCTCTTTTTTTCCTCCAATGTTCGAGGCTCACATTGTTCAAAATAAGGTTGTTGACTTATTTGAAGTTATTGTTGGTGCTAAAATTGATTGGATATAGTTATATATTGCGTAAGAAAGGGCTTCTGCAAGTGAGCTTTAGTGTGCTAGCCTTCGAAGGAAAATCTCTGATTAGACACCTATATTGGTTTATAGAAGCTTCTCACAAAACACCCTCTTGGAACTAGCTCATTAAATGAAATCTGGCATAGGATGATAAACATGTTAATAACAAGAAGTCAAGAAAGCTAACTATTTCTTACCTTTAAACTTGCAACACTCGATAAGACTTTACATCCCAATGCACCACCATATATGTAAGCGAAGTATCAATGAAAGCGAAGGGCATATAATTGCTTGAATTATTTGTCCGAAATCGCAGCTGCCTCCTACTCGATGTTAAAGTTGAAGGTCTTATCCATCCTTTATCTCCTTCTCCACCCGATTATGAAGGAAGAATTCGTAATTGCTTGAACCATTGCTCTTTCTAACCACTAAACTAATTTATGAGCAACCACCTCAAGAGTATAAACAATTTCCCTTGTGTATGCACTCAACCAAAAGTTCTTATCCTTTATCTTAGGTCTTACTAAGCTATGCGTGCATCGACTTTGCTCCTCGTTCTCCCCTTTCATAAGATTCCATTGCATAGAAAACTTGGACAAGACTAAATATAGCCCACAGGCAGTCATTTTCATAGACATCGTATATTGGTTTAGGTTTGGTTATGCGACTTCCGTCCACAAATAAATGGAAATGTTACACTTTCAAATGTCAATAGCTTTATTCTTTTTTTTTTTTTTTTTCTGGGAAAAGAAACACTTGTGTTTTGATTTTCTTAGACTTCTGAAAAGTAGTTAGGAAGTACATGAATGGAATTATTGTCTTACAGCAAGGGCTTTATACCTTAAGCTCCATTTTTTATTTGCTTTTCATACAATGGGCTGAAACCATGATTATCCTACAGTGGATCTAGTTTCCTTGCTACAGTTTTCAGTAGACTAAACAGTTGTTAGTTTCTTAAGGACGTATTCATTGGCCAGCACATGATGGCATGTACTCACTTTGGTTTTATTATATCTACCTTTGATGGCAGTAATATGTTTGATTTTCTCTTCTTGGAAGCTAATATGTTTTCTTGTGATACCAATTAGATTTTCAGTCCTGAAACTTATTCTTTTGCGTGTTTGTCGCTCCTTACCCTTAAATATTGGGTATACTATTTCCCGTCTCATTCTTGGAAAGTCTAATTTTTAGTCGTGAATATTCTTTATCCATAAAAACCTTGTAAGGATCCATAGGAGAGTGGGATTAGCCAGTCAGCTTTTGTAGATTATTAAGCCTAAAGCATACCACATTGTTGTTATTACTATTTTTATTTTAACTTGAACTACTATCTACCTTCCAACCATACTCATTGGAGTGACAATTCGTAGTTCTTACTTGATTGTTATTATTATTTTCAGGCAAAACCGTGTAAACATCTATGGGTGGGTGGAATTAGCCCATCTCTTACAAAGGAAGAACTGGAAGAGGAGTTTCTTAAGTTTGGGAAAATTGAAGACTTTAAGTTCCTGAGAGATCGAAATACTGCATTTATTGAGTTTTTTAGATTGGAAGATGCTTCTCAAGCAATGAGAAACATGAATGGTAAGCGTTTGGGCGGCGAGCAGATACGGGTAGATTTTCTTCGATCACAACCTTCAAGAAGGGTGAGTTATTTTCAATTTTTTGCACTTTCAATCTCACAAGACTCCACAGTAGCTGGAATTTTGTGTGCTATATTGATTTGCGGACTACTGAAATTTTGATAGCTGATAGATGAAATATCAATAGAGCTATGATGTGAAAAGGTTATTTCGAGTATTTTCTATTAAAATATAGTGCAAGACTTGTAGTTGTACTAGTTTTGTAACGTGCTCCGCACGTATTGCCGTGTTAGAGGCACCTGAAGAGTTTATTGTTTACCGAATAAAGAGAAATTTATTTATACAACCATTTAAGAATTTTTGAATTTATTTTAAACAGAAATATGTGTAAAGATAACAATCGACCAAAAAAAAATTAAGTACAGACACATTTGAAGAAAATTATTTTAATAATTGACAAAAAATAAAATAAGAACACATGTGAAAAAAATTACTTTCATATGAGTAAAGTGAAAAAAATAGTTTTAAAAAACGCACAAAAAAATTAAAATGTGTTAAAACATTCACAAAAAAATAAAAGTAAAGATAAAAAAGTAAAAAAGGGAGGAAAAAAAGAAGGTAAGTAGAGGGCCTACCACGTGGCAGCCTCGTAGAAAAGAGCTTTGGCTCTTTTATGTTTATTAGATTAGATTAGATTAGATAAATAAAGATAAAAGGTAAAGTAGTGAAAAAGAAAAAGAAAGAAGAAAGGGAAGAGGAGAGGCCGCCACCTGGCAGCCTAAGGAAAGAGTACTATTAAAGAGTCTTTGGCTCTGTTATGTATTGTTAGACTAGTATCAATATATTTTTCCTTTTCTTAATAATGTTTTTTGTGTTATGAATAAAAAATATTGTTGATTTTCTTGTTGTTATGTAACTTCTGTTATTATTATTAAGAACATGTTATCATGAATAACTGGCATGCTTATTATCATTTGCAGTCTCTCCTGCCAAAAAACTCATGTAGGGTTATTCAAATATGCAAATGTTTATATTTTATTAGACATTGCCCCTTTTTTTGCTTTTTAATTTTCTTTTTACGTCATCCGTTTATTTTCTCGACTATGAACATTTGCCAAAAATATTCCTTTCTCGTCAACAATAATAGTGGTAAATGACACTTTCTGTTCATCTTGTAACGAGCTCATGTTTCCCATGCTCAATGGAACAGGAACAGTGGTCTGACTCCAGAGATGGACATTTTCAGGGAAGGAGCATGGGGCCTTCTGATCTGAATTTTCTTAATAAAAGACAACAGGTTAATCTTTTGGAAATTTATTTATGGCAGTAATCTTTCTTATTGCTAACTCCCTGTTCTAAATACTTGTTCCTTTTACTATGATAGCGTCAATTGTTGAATTCATTTTGGAAAATTATTTTATTGTTATTTATGAGAATCTGTGTGGATTGAAGATGACAGTAGTGTGTCATACCCATATTTCATACGAGTTCAGTTTATTTTCTCACTCACTGTTTGATTGTGCAGTATTCACAAGCTTCAGGGGGCCGAAAAGGAGAAGGTCAACCCAGCAAAGTTTTATGGGTAGGTTACCCTCCTTCTCTACAGATTGATGAACAAATGCTGCACAATGCCATGATCTTATTTGGTGAGATTGAGAGGATCAAAAGTTTCCCTTTAAGGCATTACTCTTTTGTGGAATTCAGAAGTGTTGATGAAGCTCGGCGTGCCAAGGAGGGCTTGCAAGGTAGACTTTTCAATGATCCTCGAATTAGCATTATGTTCTCAAGCAGTGACCTTGCTCCTGGAAAAGATTTCACTGGCCCATATTCTGGAGGTAAAGGGCCTGGGACAGACATGGCGTACAATGAACACCCTTTTCGACCTTTACAAATGGATATGTATGGTCCAAATAGGCCAATGATGTCGAACAATTTCTCTGGACCACTTCCACATGGTGGAATTCTTGGACCTAATATGTCAATGAGGCCTTTGGGTCCTCAAGGTAGATTTGAACCTCTGCTTCCAGGTCCAGAGCTTAATGATTTGACCACCATTTCAAATTATCAGGAAGGTAATTCCAAAAATCTAATGGGTCCGAACTGGAGAAGGCCATCACCTCCTACTGCTGGTCTGCTGTCTCCTCCTGCATCAAGTGGTAAGACACATACAAGATCTGCATCTAGTGCATGGGATGTGTTGGATGTGAACCAATTTCAGAGGGATTCTAAACGATCCAGGATAGATGGCCCTATGTCCATGGAAGACGCTTCTTTTCCATTGAGAAAAATTGATGATCATGGGCTGGGTTTGGACCAATCCTATGGGCATGGTGCTGATCAAGGTGCTTCTGGCCCATTTGCAAATGTTCAAGGGAAGAGCCGTCTTAGTCCTGCTGGCCATGGGGGTTTGGCTGGAGGACCTGCTCAAGTTCATCCTGATAATGATTATGTCTGGCGTGGAATTATTGCCAAGGGCGGGACTCCTGTTTGCCGCGCTCGTTGTGTCCCACTTGGAAAAGGACTAGGGTCTGAGCTGTAAGTATTTTTGCTTTTTCTGTAGAATTTTTTTATGATGCAAAACATTATTTCCTTCTCAGTACGTGAGAACAGTAGTATTTTGTTTGAAGCTTTGCATATGTTATCGTTTCCTTTAAAAGTTCTTTAGAGAATTGAGGTGCTGCATAACATTTGCGCTGTACTATTTTATACAGTTTCCCTTTTGGAATATTTGGTAGGTTGGTTAAGAAAAATAAGGTTCTCGTGCAACCATGTATATAACCATCTCTTAGATTGTTAATTCTGGAAATCTTCTAGTTTTTAAGTCATTAAAAGAAAAACTAAATATACTGATTGAATTGGGTACACCTTTTCTGTTCACGTACTCATTAAGTTCTAATGCATTATAGCTGAGTTTCACTTCTCTTCTACTTTGCTATCTCCCCATGTTCTGTGATCAACAGTATCTTGCTGAATTTGATACACATCCTCATCTTAACTCATGTCTAAAATAGGCAACGAAACCAATTGATTAGTTCTGTGCAAACTTTTATTTTATTCTTCATGGAAGTTTCTACTTTCTACTTTTAAGATTTGATTTAAAAAGGGGAAATAATTTATTCTCTCTTTCTTGATGCTGTGTAAATTTTGAAAAAATTTAGTCAAAATCAAATAGCCCTTGATGGTGGATATTTTCTTTATGATTCTTATGCTAATGCTATTTGAAATGCCAACTTGATGGCTCTGACTAAGATATATTTTAAAGAGTGACGTGAAATGTATCTTTCTTATTCGTTGTTGCTGTTTGCTGTCTTGTAGTCCTGAAGTTGTCAATTGCTCAGCAAGAACAGGCTTGGATATGCTTGCTAAGCACTATGGAGAAGCCATTGGGTTTGAAATTGTTTTCTTCTTGCCAGATAGTGAGGATGATTTCGCATCTTATACTGAATTCCTTCGGTACTTAGGTGCCAAAAACCGGGCTGGTGTTGCCAAGTTTGACGATGGGACCACTTTATTTTTAGTACCTCCATCAGAGTTTCTAACAAATGTTTTAAAAGTTGCTGGCCCTGAACGCCTATATGGTGTTGTTCTCAAATTTCCACAAGTCTCTAGTAGTACGTTGGGGCAGCAACAGTCGCATCTGCCTATTCCTTCCCAGTATGCAGATAGGCATCAGATTCCTCCTTCCCAGGCTGAGTATGGTGTACCATATAAGGAGGAACGAGTACCGCAAATGGATTACAGCAGGATATTGCAAGAGGAATCTAAGCTTCCTCCAAAACCACTTTTTCCACCTGCTAGGGAGTCTCCTGGAGTGCAGTCAGTTCCCCAAGACTATGCCTCTAATAATGCTGCGGCAGTCTCACAAGCTGGAGTTGCATTAACACCTGAGCTAATTGCTACTCTAGCAACCTTACTGCCTGCAAATTCCCAGTCTTCTGCTTCAGAAGGTGCAAAAGCATCAGGATCAACATTAAGGTCTTCACTTCCTCCCGGTGCACCTAATAAAGTAACCCCACCTTATGGATGGAAACAGGATCATCACCAAACTTCTGACCATATAGGGCATGGCTTACAACAAGTTGGGAGTCAATTTAATCCTCAGGCCCAGAATCTTTCACAACTGCAGTCTTTTCCATCTGTTTCAAACACACCTAGCCACCCTTCACAACCAGTCCTTGGTAGCAATCAATTCCAAGACTTTACTGTCAGTCAGTCACTGCAGTCTAGGCCTCCGAGTAACTTTCCGATACCTCCTCAAGGAGGACAAACTGGTGCTTCCTCACATCTGACTCAATATCAGGTTGAAGCTCCACCTGGTACCCAGAAAGGCTATGGAATAGCTCATGGAACAGATGCTACTGGATTGTACAATCCTTCTTTTTCTCATCAACTCATCAATCCTGTGACTTTTTCTGGCCAGTCATATGGTACTAATAATGTGCAATCACAAACTGTAATGCCGATCGCTGCTGAGAAGGTGAATGCTGAGGTTTCAAATCAGGTTAAGCAGCTGCAGTCTGCAATTCTTGGAGCAGGTCAGGGAACATCAGAGGGCGAGGTTGATAAGAACCAGAGATATCAATCAACCCTGCAGTTTGCCGCTAATCTGCTTCTCCAAATTCAGCAGCAACAGCAGCATGTCGGTGCTCAAGCGGGGCGGGGTTCTGGAACTCAGCAATGAATTTGCTCCCCCAGGTAATTTCCATTCACGGTCTGAGTTTCTTTGGCGGAGTATTTTTATAATTATTGCATTTGATTAAATTATAATTGACTTCATTGTGTTGCTTGCATGTGGTGAGGGTTTTTCTTTAACTATATATATCTTTTCTAGCATTACTTGGGCTTAACTGGGCATTTTCTGTGGGAAAGTAGAAATTGTTGTATGCATTCCTGGCTGCAATAACGTGCTCTGAGAATTTTTGTTAAGTGATTTTTAGCCTATTTTGTTATTCTTAGATGGCCTATAGTTTTGCAACACTGGTATTGTGATGAAAGTTTTGTTTTTCTTTGGTAGTTAAATTTATTATGGTCAAGGACTAATATGGAATAGAGTCAATTTCTATGGAGAAGAGTGACCTGCCATTACGGTTTTTCTAAGGGGAATGATCTTTATTTAAGTTGATTTAAGGCAAAGAGGAGTTTCGTCATATGCTTTGGGCATTGAAGAGAATGATCTAGTAGTGCTTACTTCTTGTTGTGGATTTCCTTCCAGTTGAACCTGATTATCTTTGTTTGATCATTTTGAAGTTTTATTTTTCTTTTCTTTTATTCATTAATTTATTTTTATTATTTTTTAGAAATTCTGTGAAATAGTAGTTTCCTAGTATAGTAGACTGGATTTTTTTGGGAGATCACGCGGGTTGGAATTTGGAGAGTTGGATCTGAAGAGTATTTTCAAGTAGTGGTTAAGTTTCAGGTTAAACAGAGGTATTTATAGAGTGGTTTAGAAGTTCAAATCTGGATTGTTTTTAGATTTTAACGTTTCTTTTTCTTCAGGCAACTCTCCAAAGGCATATAGGATTTCTAGTGATGCTGAATTTTATTGCTAAAATTATCTAAAATTTGTTAACGCTGTCGTTTCTAGTTTATTTAACTCCATATGCTTGGCTCTGTGTGGTAGTTTATATGCTTTTATGGCCTTTGTTTATAGTTTCAATTTTGTTTAACATGTTTGAATAGGTTACTGCTATTTCCTTCTGAAGTCATTTGATAGTATTCATGTTATTCCTGATTGTTTATCATTCATGCAATTAATATACATCTGTTGTTATAGTCTTGCTTTCTTACGTATGTACTCTATATTTGTAGTATGTTAATTGCTAGATAGCGTATATCTGAAGTGATTAACTTTTTTTAATTATTACCTAACCATAGGAGCACAAGTATGTTTAGACCTTGTCAGATTGTAACAATAAATTGTTATTGCATTCTATAAGATTTTTTTCTCTCCGTTGAAATTTTATTAGACTGTACCAGGATGGACTAATTTATTCTCTGTAAATATAGGCCGTGTTTGGAATTAATCATGTTTTTGTTTTTTAAGTTTTTCAAGAAAAAAATGAAAACGTTTCCAAAACGGCGTTTGGCGCGATAAAGACAAAACGGAAATGAAAACGATTTTTTGATTTAGTGTAAAATGAGAGAGAAATGAAAAATGAATTTTAGTCGTTTTTCATTTTTTGTTTTCGTTTTCTCCTCTCTCGAGCAGAGAGAGAGAGAGATAGAGAGACATTAATGGGTTTTTTTTACACTGCAAACAATCTCTTGATAAAACTACCAAACGCATTTTTAAAAGTGATATCTGCCTGAGATTGAAAACGTTTTCATTTTCATACAAAAAACAAAATCATTTGGAACGAGTTCCAAATGCGCCCATAGAGTTAGAGCAATTCCCAGCTACAGTAGAGAATTAAATGTGAAGTGGGTAGATTATAACCGAGTTGTCTATTTTTTCCCCCTACCATGACTCCAGAAACAGTGTCTGAATATTAAAAAAACTACAACACTTACAGGTTTAAGGGAGGATAAGATTATTAGTTCATTTTAATGAAAGCTATGACATGCCCACTTTAAATAGAAACAACAATATTTTAACTGGTCAGATTACGCAGTGGGTGATAACCCTATGCCTATGCCTACCAACCTTGCAAACCGAACGTATAGCTATTACCTGTCCGTACATACTAATTCTTCAGTGTTATAGGTTGAGATTCTGGACGAGAACTTACAAGCATCCTCTAAAAATTACTGTTGCTATTACTATTTTTGTATCTTTGTATTCTATAATTCTGGGAAAGTCTTAATTTTCGAGGATGCTACAAAATGTAATAGAAAATATTTGACTAGAACCCAGGATTAGTTTATGGATTTAGACTGCTCGAAACTGACTCTGAAAATGTTACTCCTGTAAGTGGTCAGAGTTTCCTTGTACATTTGTTGCCCCTCCTATCAAATAATTCAGAATGCGCACAGGATATAATTGCAGAATTTTAAGAAAAATGGTACTATCTTTGGGTAGTCTTAGTCACAATTGTAATGTCTGATCAACATGTTAATAACAAAATGAACTTGAGGCATAAGCAGTTTTTTTTTTTTCCCCATTGGAAGACGGTTTGCATCTCTCATTTGACTTTCCTTTGATAAATCATAGGCAATATCCATCCGTTAACAAAATTAACTGTCATTTGGACTCACAGTCATTCTTGCTGGAAATGTGCTGTTGGGGAAATGTATTCAATAATTCATTACTGGTGTTTGTTTTCAATTATAATACTAAGTCCCGAGTAAAAGGCGATGTCTTAAATTTATTCTTGAAATTCTAGAATGCACCGGTAACACCATGGTTTCGTGCTTCGTGAAATTTGTTTGCTGCAATTCAAAATTAGCTAGCCTTTGATCGCGGAGTCTAAACTTTTGCTTCGCGCAATTTAAACGATTACAACTCGTGTAGGCAAACTGTCAAGTTTAAACCAGTTAGAACTTATCCTGTCTCCTATTCTGCTCGTTTGCTTCATGTTTCATTTTTGTCCCATCCATTAAATCTTGACTAAACTAAGATGCTGAATTGTACTCAAATAGGTGTCCATTTTGATGAATTGTTATTACGGTGTTAATGATCATAGGGTCGTAAATATAAATCATTTTGGTTTTTTGGGACAGCCGCCAAAAATATGGATATGATCAGATTCATGTGGCGCATTATGTCACAAGCAATTAGGTGTTTGAACATGCAATTCCACATGAAATTAGTCTGCCTTCAGGACTTGCCGAAAAACTTTACCTATGTAGGTTTCTGCTAATAGAGTTAAGCAACATGTAACTTTATTGAGCAAGGCACTGATGAATTCTAATCTGAATCAGTAGTCAGAGATCTATTTGTAGATTAATTGTGCTCAGAAAATTTGATGCCCCGGAAAAATCTGGTGGATCACTTTGCGGTTTGATGCCCCGTTCCGTTCATTTCGTTAGTTCGAATCACAAGTCAAGTTTTTGCTACAATGTTTTCTCTCGTAAAAATTCAAATCGACTTTTTCAGCGACAGTTTTGTGTATCAATTGGTTTAATCCTTTACTTTCTCTTCAATCGACTGGTTTAATCCTTTACTTTCTCTTCAATCGACGCTGCTCGCCAAATCGAGGACCTTTCCAAGCCTAAGGGTTTTTCTCTCGACTTCTTAGTTAATTCTATGTCTTAGTTAATTGGGTTCTTGTTTATTGGCTTCTCAAACTGCGGTTTTTCGCACCTGGGAAATCTTTGTGATTAATTAACCAATAATTTCACTACAGATTATTTGTGCAGGTTGTTTGGTTAAGAATCTAATACTTGTTATAGGATAGATTGTTCTCTCTAGATCCTGAGCGTCAAATGAGGGTCACAAATTTAATTTTATTAGCAGAAACAACAAAACCAGAACAAAAGACCCAAAAGAGATTATTTTACTTTTGTTTTGTTTTAGGGTCCGTTTAGTTCGCTGATTCGAGTTTTTAATTCGAATTGAGATGTAATTTTATGTGAGAACTTGTGAAATGAACGGAACCTTAATTTGTCACTTGATATCAATGAATCGCTGATTTTAGATTTTTTTTTTCTTTTAACCAATTACGTGCGAGTACTTTTGACAACTGCGTGCATGCTAAGAGTGATGCAAAATTACATCAGAACAAAAGACCCCAAAAGCGATTATTGCCTAACCGAATCTTGATAACGTGTAGGTGAGGGACCGTTTGATTCACACCAAAGTCTCAAATGAAGGACTCTACTATGCAAACGCGTTCATCGGATAGAAATGGCAAATTGCGGATTCCAAATTCCATTTCTGTACGACGCTGATCAAATTTGGGCTGTTTTCGAGGCGTATTTCCAAAAAAAAAAAAAAAAAAAAAGTGGGTTATAATTATTAGCATATAGGACAATGCGACGAGCTAATTTTCCTCCTTGTTTTTTATTCTTCGTTCTAATATTATTTTCGCTTCCAACTACAGCTTTATCTGTCAATAATATTTATTTTTCATTCAATGCATCTGCTCTCTTTCATACCTGCAAATGTCACACTTCCTATGCTCACTAACACTTAAAAAGGGAAAAAGGAACGTAATGCTACTACTTGGGTTTGAGCGTTTTAGGTCTCGTTCATTTCACGGATTTAAATTAAATTTTTAATTCGACTGCAAATATCATACGTCCTATGCTCACTAACACTTAAAACGTAAAAAAGAATGTAATGCTACTACTTGGGTTGGAGCGTTTTAGGTCTCGTTCGTTTTGCGGATTTAAGTTTTCAATTCGAGCTGTGCTATGATATTTTTTAAGAGTTTTTAATTATAGTAGAAAAAGTTAAATGTGATATTTTTATGAGAATTTTTAACTGTAAAAATTTAAAACTAAAAACTCGAATTAGTGAAATAAATGAGACCTTAGTTTTAACAACTACTTTGGAATATGGTTTTGGAGACTTATCTTAAAAGCAATCAGGTCAAAACGGGGGAAAAAAACTGGAGGAAGAAGAAAGGGACCAAAAGGTTAGAGCAATCCAAGGATGAAAATTTCAATATTCATGGAAATATTAGTACTTAAAATTTTTATGAAAATATTGATATCGCTGCCAATCAACATTAAATACGCAAACTTATCTTAAAACACTGAATTATTAAATGAAACTTTAAAACCCCTACTATATCTAATAGTACTTAAATTTGATGAAACTCTATATCAAAATAATAAGTACATGATAAATATGCATGATATAATAAACGATAAGCATGCATTCATAATTTAATTATAATAATAGAAAGTCAACATGATACAAGAACCTTACATCCTTTGTTTCATATATGATAAGAAACTATCAATATCAAAAGAAGCTTCTAGGAAGTAGGATGGTATTTAGAATACATTCTTGATTCAAACAATATTGATATCATAACGCAGTGTTTGAGTAGTTTCTCATGTAGACATGCCACGTGCTTATTGACACTTGCTCATTAAAAACTATGAAGGCGTATATTTAAGACTAATAAAAGTATATCCCACATTATATATTGTGGGTCCGTTTAGTTCGTTAATTCGAGTTGAAATGTGATTTTATGTGAGTTTTTTACTATAGTAAAAAAGTTAGATGTGACTGTTTCTGAGAGTTTTTTACTGTAGCAAAACTTGAATTCTAAACTCGAATCGGTGAAATGAACGGAGCATGTAATTACAAACAAGAGTGCATGTGAGGTTGGTTTGAAGAGAGACTAATTGGTACTTATCCTAATTGATTCAAAACTCAATGAGTGATTGAAGCTGTGCATTATTAGAATGTAGATGGATTAGTTTAAGCACTTTGTCTTCTTGTTATCACATTAACGTGAATTCTACCAAAGTTAAGTCCAACAAAAAAAATATTAAATCATAATTAAGAACACGTGCAATAATTTTTTTACATTTCAAAAATAATTTTGGAAAAGAAAAATTCACTTCAGTACCTTGTGTTTTTTTTTTTTTTTTGAAAAAATTACTTGGTGCTCTATGTTTTTTTATCATGTTGGTCTAAAGTTAAGAAAACCTACCGAATATATTATATATATTATACTTGGACATAAGGATATATTTATCTTTTCTGTCCTTTTTCCCCTAATTACGGACTATTTAAACAAAGAGAGAAAAATGATAGAAAAGTCATTTCATGTCCCAAAAACGGCTTCAACATACTCGGATCTCATTTTTGAAAATGTCAACAAATCATTTTAATAAGTTATATCAACTTAGTTTTTCAATGTAGTTATTGCAGCCCTTTAACTATATAAAAGTGCTTAAAACATCCATTCTGTCCAATTCTATACAAAGAATGTAATGGTTTACATGACAAGTTCAAAATGAGTTAATAAAAATATAGGGCCTGTTCACTTCACTAACTCTAATTTTATGATTTGAGTAAGAAAAGTGAACTTGAGTTATTTTTAATTGGAGTTGTAATGTGAATTTTAAGTTAAGTGTTTAATAAGAGATTGATGTGACATTTAAAACTTGAGTTATGTGTTCACTTGCACACAACTAAACTCACCACTTACACAAGATATTGCATTGGATTTATCTTCATTTTCTGGACCTACATAAGCCAATGTTAAATACTCTTGCAAACATTTGACGTGAGGCAGCTTAAACAACTACACAACATTATGCAGAGGCATTACACAACTTCATTTCAAGAATTTAAAATGAACATGCTGTACACTTTAGTGTAAACGACATCCAAGTAAGGGAGACACAATGAAAACGACGAATGGGTGGAGTTGGCAGTGTAATCATCCACCGGGTTTAGGCAGAGGCACAAAACAATGCAACAAACTTGGCTTATGACAGTAAAGGACATCAAACAATGCCTAATGTCGTTCCCCATGGGCACCAAATCAAAAGACAGCACTTGTTCCATGTAATTCTTGCAATATGCTTATTCAACAAATAATATTGATAAGATAACTCTAGTACGACAACAGGGTAGGTAATAAGCTTAGGTATAAACAGCAACAGGAGAGACAATACGACAACAAGGGAGGCAATAAGCTAAACACGGCCACAGGACAGCCAATACGACAACAGGGTAGGCAAACGAGTTATATAAAATTAACTAATTATAGTATTATTATATATAAATAAAATGGACAAACATTTGGAAGTGAAACAATAAGCACTGCACGTGATCTAATAGCCAACAATCTTATTGCCCGCTGCAAGATTTCTGAGAATTGAAGAATGAAAGAAAATGTATTATTAGCATATGTTAAAGGTTTTCAAATTAAAAATAACGACAATCACCCAATTGGTGGGGACTTAATGAGCCTAGAGTGGGAAAAGGTGGAGAAATTAGTCATATTGGATCTCTCCAACACAGGCCGTATAGGAGAGATTCCAGAGTCCATATCAGAATCAAAGAGGCTGAGGTTTCTGGGTCTTAGTGATAACAATCTCTCAGGAAATCTCTCACCAAAGCTTGTCACATCAGGAGTAAACACATTTCTTTATCAATGTATCACAAAATAACACATTGCTGGGCCTTTAATAACACATTTCATTCTTGTTTTCATCCATCAAAGTTCTGTTTCTGTGTAAGTTGTTGGTAAACATATGTCTTATAGCAAGTAACTACTGTATGTCGGGAAGGAAATTTGCATCTCAGATTTGCCTAAGTATTCAAACAACAAAACATGCTTCATACCATTGTATTTAGTGAAATTGTCAAAACTAGCGTATGAAGAGCTTCTAATAACTCAAACAACTATAGAAAAGTATGCAACGGCAATCATACAACTTCATGAAATGAATTTAAAATGAACATGCTAAACTTCAGTGTAAACGACATCCAAATAAAAGAAATCCAATAAAAACGACAATGTTCAGATTTAGCAGTGTAATCATCCACTGGCATATGCAGAGGCAATGGAGGTGTAAATCAGTCAAAGAAAAGGTCTTACCGTGTTTGATCCGAAAGAGGACAATGGTTGATCTGCTTCGACAACCCCCAAACGCGACTGTGATGGACGTCGGTGAAGAGATGGATACCGGCACTGACAACAGAAAGCTCTATTTCTAGGAGCACGCTTCGGAGGTCGGAGACGACATTTGGCGCTACATCGACGCATGAGCACGGCCAACGGAGGAAGTCGGCTCACTCGCGTGGGATCAATTTCTCCCGTGTTGAATCACTGAAGGAGAAGGCAACAAAGGAATATAGGGATCGGGATTCACCAATATTGCCGATTTGGGCTGGGTTTATATGGGATGTACCTGCGAGCAACTTCACCGTGGGTGAGTTTGGTGGATGAAGCGATTTCACAGCGGTCCAAGAAGAACACGCTTGTGGGAATGGTGTGCAGCGGTCCAAGCGATTTCATAGTGGATTAATCGTTGGTCTCATTGAGGGGAATCTGCAAGCTTTTTGCAGAGCAGGCGGAGCTTTCTCGTGAGGCAG